ATACTGTGTGGGTTTTTTGTTTTTGTTTTTTTTAACAACCCCAAAATATAAGTTCTTCAATGGAAAGGCCTATAGACCTGTAGATAGGTGCTATAGTTTGTGAGTTATCTCTTTTTTTTTTGAAGTAAGTCTCATTACCCCAGGTTAGTTAGCCTCATACTTGCTGAGAATGACCTTGAACTTCTGACCCTCTGATATCAACTTCCCAAGTGTTAGGCTCTGAAGCATGCACCACCATACTTGGCTAATATGGTACAGGAAATTGAATCCAGGGCTTTAGGTATGCTAGACAAGTACTTTACATTGTTACATTTCTAATCCCAAGTTCTTTTAAATTAGGTAGGCACTGATACCATAATTTTAACCCTCACAGTTTGTATATGTGGCAGCTGCAAACACATGCCCTTTTAGATAACAGGTCTTACTGCTTTGCTAGCTTTAGGTTAGGTTGTAAATGGAATGGCTTAGACTGTTCTTAGACAGTGTAGGGAGTGGAGTGTCAGGCATGACTCAGTCCTGCTTGCTTCTTTTTTTGGACAGTTTCTCCAAACGTACCTGCTTGTCAGAGAATCTGTAGTTATTTTATTCTCAGTGTGATGTCCTGGAATAATTTACAGGTCAGAAGAATTATAGGTGTACTTTGTGTGACAAGTCTTTCACGCAGAAGGCTCACCTGGAGTCTCACATGGTCATCCACACGGGTGAGAAGAATCTCAAGTGTGACTACTGTGACAAGCTGTTCATGCGGAGACAGGACCTAAAGCAGCATGTGCTCATCCACACACAGTAAGTATCCTGCATGAGCGTGCTGCTAGTCGGAGGTGACCTGCCCTCTGTGCATCCCTGAACCCGAGGTGCTGGCTGTGCGTCTGCTTCTCCCTTCAAGGCTAGGGTCCAGGGAAACCAAGCAGTCCTTTGTCAGAGTCCTGCCCCGACACCAGGTCCTGAGCTGGGGCACAGAGTAGACAGACCAGAGGCTGATGTCCTTTGGCTGTTAAATTTCTATTATTGATAAGGGGACCGGAACTGTTTGCTTCTGGCAATTGACTCCTGCTAATAGCAGCAGGGGATTAGAAAAGAAACTTGGGCTCTTTAACTCAGGGGCTTCTCACTGGCCAGTTGGAGCTCATTAACTCTTCCTGAATCAGAGAGAAAGAAAGAGGATAAAGAGAAAGTCATGCGTGCGTATACACACACACACACACACACTCTGTGTCTGTCTGTCTGTCTCTCTCTCTCTCTCATACGTATACACACACGTCTATGTCTATAATAAGTACATATGTACACACCTGCAGACAGACATATATGCACATATACACGTTTGACGGGTGGAGCGGAGTCCCAACAGCCTTTTTATAGCTCCTCAGACAAAAGGTTTTTTATAAAATTACCTCAGATAGAATGTTGTGCAAAAAGGAGTTACAGAAGGATGTTGCTAGCAAGTTCAAAGTGGTATTTCATTCTGTAAGTTCATAAGTTCAAAGCAACAGTTTCATGTGGCCTTGTTTTATCTTACTGTATACCTGTGGCCTTATCCCTCGACTTGACCTAGAATGAATGTTTTTTTCTTGATTATAATTTGTCCCAAGACTACTTTTCTTCTTAGTGCAATTTATGAAAGTTCATTGTATTGCTTATTATGTAGTCTTTACTTACTATTCTATGAGGCAGGGGCCATGTTCTATTCCCCCGCCGTCTTCCCTTCTCCCTCTTGCTTTGGCCCCACTCGCTTTGGCCCATAGGCTTCCATTCGTTTATTATATCTAAGTACACTGTAGCTGTCTTCAGACACCCATAAGAGAGCATTGGATCTCATTATGGATGATTGTGAGCCACCATGTGGTTGCTGGGATTTGAACTCATGACCTCCAGAAGAGCAGTCAGTGCTCTTAACCTCTGAGCCATCTCACCACCTTACGTTCTATTCTTGATTCTAACTTTATTATTATATCTTTTTTTTCTTTAAACACTTGTTTTGTTTTGTTTTCTGACACAGGGTTCTCTGTGTAGCCCTGGCTATCCTGGAACTCACTCTGTAGACCAGGCTGGCCTCGAACTCAGAAATCCACCTGCCTCAGCCTCCCAAGTGCTGGGATTAAAGGCATGCACCACCACTGCCCAGCTTATTACATCTTTTTGGCAAACCATTTCCTTAAGCTTTCTTCCTAAAATTATTTGAATCAAATTAGGAGTTCTATAAAGTCATTAATTCATCTAAACAGCATTATTATATGAAAGTACATCTTTATATTGATTGTAGGAAATTTGCCCAAGAGGTGGGCTGATGCCCAGGAATTACTAGGCTGTGTAATGGTGGCAGGAAAGGTGTATCAGCAGTGAGAAGCTATCCTGGGACTAAGTCTCTAAGGTCTGTGCCTCTCAGAGTGCACCCACTGCAGCCACGCACAATGTGGGCCATCTCCAGGAAACTTGCTCGCTTCCCATAGCTTTTCCTACATGTCTTGTGCCAGTCCTTGGGCCATACTGTGGAAGATTTCACTTCTCTGTGTCTGTTCTTATTTTTATATGGTGTTCATTTTTATCCATGTTTTTAAAACATTAAGTTTTTTAAGCCACCTCTTTGATGCTTGGTGCTGTGTTGTGCTAGGGATAGAGATAAGGATAAAGTCCCTATCTTCAAAGAGCTCCAAGTTTGGAAAGTGAAACAAACAAGTCAGTCGTTACTGTGCTGAGTTGCACTGGGTGCTGAAGACCATACAAAGGCAGTGCTTGATCCTGATCTAGCAGTGTACTCCTGTAGTCTCATCCACTCAGGAGACTGAGTCAGACAGATTGAGAGTTAGAGGACAGTCAAAACAGAAATAGGGGGTGCTGGAGAGGTGGCTCAGTGGTTAGGAGCACTGACTACCCTCAGAAAACGTGTATTTGATTCCAAGCACACACATGGAGGCTTAACAACAGGGGTAGCAGCATGCCTCTTTAGGCACCAGGCTGGCAAGTGCCGCACAGACTTTCACACAGGCAAAACACTGTGCACATGAGATAAAAACAAACCCTGAAGGCTGGAAGGTAGTGTAAGCCTGTAATTCCATCACTTGGGAGGCAGAGATCTTGGTAGGTTCAAGGCCAGCCTGGTCTACAGAGCCAGTTTCCAGGACAGCCAAGGCTATACTACACAAAGAAACCCTGGCTTTAAAAACAAAACAAAAAACCCCAAACCAAACAAAACAAAATCTTATAAACAGAGGGTTGGCAATACAGCTAAATAGTATAGCAGTTACCTGGCCTTAAGGCCAGGGGTCCAGTCTGCATTACTGAAGAGAAGCACACAAGGCAGCCCTGGGCATCGCCACACTCCCCAGTAGTTTGAGCTTAATCTTAAGATCAGTTATAATTAAGAAAATAGAGAAGGATAAGGAGTTAGAATGATATTCTGGATGGCAGCAAGGGTGTGAAAATACCATGGCAGAAGCACAGAAGCAGAGATTATCGATTAACGTTTCTCTGTCAGAAAATAGAGTTCTTTGGAGAAAGTGGTGAGTGGCAGACCCTACATCATAAACAATCTCTTTTTTGAGATACGATCTCATGAATCCCTGGCTGGCGCTGAGCTTGCCATGTAGTTAGGGATGACCCACTAAGATACTATTAGTGCCATGGTCACAGGCATGTACTGTGTGTGCAGTGCTGGGGATCCAGCACAGGCTCTCGAGGCAGACAGGCGCTCTGTTGAGCCATGTCCCTGTTGAAGGTCTACCAGGGAAATTAAATTTCATCCTCAGAGTAATGGTGAGCTGTGGACAGATTTGGTCCTCCTGCCCACTGCCTGCTGGGGCAGTTCTGTGCTAAGGGTGTGTGTGTGTGTTGAAATTGTGGTTAGTAGAGAAACAAGCATTTTTTAGGTGTTTAGTTTACCAATATTAGTTGTATGTATGTAGTTGTGCAGGCATTTACAGACTTTAAGGAAAGGGATGTCATTGTTTGGTGACATACTTTTTCTGTTTCAGATGGACAGAGGGTAATTCAAGGGGCACAAGGGTTGGGGGGACGCCAGGCAGGAGATTGCCTAGGAATGTTTTACTGGATCTGGGTGTAAGAACTGGTCTCTCCTGCTATTAGTCATAGGGTAGTAAGCAGATGCAGTAGACAGTGTGTTATCCTCAGCTTTGAGCAAGTGCTGGAAGACAGGAGTTCACTGTAAACATTGTGAACTCTAAAGAGCTCTTGGGTTTCAACTGAGGACTCAGGATCTAGTATAGCTCTCATAAGGACTTTTTTTCTCTCCTTTTTTGGTTAGAGAGTTTTGCTTAGCCTAGACTGATCTCGACCTCCTGATTAGCTGGGCTCACAGGTAGCCACTACTGTATTTGCTATACCACCCCAAAGAATCTTTTAAAACTGTATTTATTTGTATGTGCTTGTTTGTATGATACACACATACCATGGTACTCATGGAGGTCAGAAGACAGCTTGTGGATGCCCCTTCCTCCATGTCGGTCTTGAAAATTTAACTCAAGGTGTCGGGCCTCAGGTAAATAAATGTCTTACTTGCTAAGCCTTGCTGGCTCTATAAAGGATCTTTTTACAACAAAGACTTCATTAGTTTCATTGATAGTGTGAAATTCTGATTATCAAATAGAAGTTGTTCAGTAGGAGAAGTGAGATCCTCTCTAGGGTCCCGTAATTGCTGTCCTGTGTGCAGATGCTCAGACGGTGCTGTTAGCCCAGTGGGAGGAAATAGCCATGATGACACTTCAAGTTGGGTACTTGGCAGAATGAGCCAGTTAGTTCCCTGCCCTAGCCTCCAGAGCTGTGAGGAAATAGCACAGTTTGCTAAGCACCCAGCCTCCTAGTTGGAGGGTAGGTGGTGAGAGGGATGTAAGTGAGAACAAGGGTTTCAGTTTCTTCCTCTTAATTTTTTTTTTTTTTTTGGTCTGAGCCTGTAGCTAGCGGTTAAAAGGGCCACCTACAAAGGGCAGGCAGCTCCAGTTACGCGCCAGCAGTGTGCCATGACGCCACAGCTTAACCCCCAGCACCACAAGAAGGTGTGCGGGGGCTCAAAGGCAGTGTGTTGGTGATAGTGACACACATGGGCACCAGCAATGTTGTTGAAACACTTTATTCAGAAGCTTGGGGGAAGGTTGAAGTCCACGTTGTCTGCTGTTCTACGCAGGGCAGACCTTAGAGATCTCCCCTCACTAAGAGCTTCTTCCTCTTATTTTAAGACACATTTCTAGGCTCCATATTCTCCACTATGTCTAAACCCAGTTCCAAAATCCCCACCTCACCCTGGAGATTAGGGCTTCAAAATAGGAATTTGCGGCTGTGGGAGATGGTAGGGAGAGACTGAGTCCTAACACTGCCTGTTATAAACACAGGGGGATGTTAACAACTAATGACAGGGGTCCCTCCCACCTTCAGGATTCTAATGTAGTTGCCTGGGACCAGAGCCCCAGCTTAGCCTTTTCCCTTCCTTCCCCCACTGTCTGGAAGTGGGGTTATAGGAGTGTACCTCCACAGCTAAGTTGGCCCTCGTTATTCTCTCTTAAGACTTACTGTAAACTCTGTGTATTTGTGCACAGATGAGGAAGGATGGTGAGGTCAGAAGAGGGAGGGCCTCAGATTTCCTCAAGCTGACAGGCAGCTGTGGGACATTAGGTGGGTACTGGGAACTGAATCCAGGTCCTCTGCAAGAGTAATCCATACTCTTGAGCCCTGAGCCCCTGCAAGTCTTGCTGTTTTAAAAAGGCCCCCATGAGACTGAATGTGCTCTATGGGACATACTAATTTTCAAAATGTCTCTGGCAGATGGGGATGTTATTTCTTCCTAAATGCCACACACTCAAGGTAATTTTGGGGGGAAGTTTTGTTCTGGTTGGGCTTCTATTAGCCTCTGTCCTTTCATCCTGACACCTGTCCTCCTCAAAGGTTAAACATAGATTTGATACTTCTTTTTGGGAGGTGGGGGTGAAGATATGTGCTATGACGTGAATCCAGGATCTTTCACCTGCAGGGCGAGTACTCTACCACTGACGGACATCCCCAGGCTCTAGCCAGTCTAGGAACTAACGGCTTCTTATGTTTCCAGTAGCTCTCTTTTTATCAGGGTATGTGTCTTTATACTTTCTGCAGCGAGTCCTATTGGTTAGTTTCAAGTCTGCTCCCCCAGAGGTGAACACAGGATTTTATGATTTGTTTAGGAGCGAGGGTTGTAGTTCTATGCTTGCTTAGTGTGCATCAAACAGCAGAGCTTTCATCTTTTTTGACCTTGAAGGTGGGTGCATCTTTTGATCAAAGTGCATATTTCTCCTGTGTATATCCCCCATCTATTTGTCTGCCTATCCAGCTATCAAAATAAATATATGTGTGTGTATACAGTGTATACATAGAGATGTAGATATTCTTGCTTATGAAAATATAAAACTGAAAGCCATCAGAATATCTATGAAGAATAAGAGAAACCAGTTGCAGACTGTAAATACTTCATATTAATGGAAGAGAACAAACTACAGGTACTCAGGCACCTTGAGTGAACAGCACAGGCTTCATTTTCAGTGAAAGAAAGCTACACTGGATGGTCCTGTTTGCATAGTACTCAGAAGGCAAAAGCAGCCTGGTTCTAAAAGTTCCTATAAAGGCCTGGATTCGGGAACTTACATGGCTTGATTGTTGTTTACACCCCAAGCAAGTGTCACTCTTTTGTTTCTCTTAGAGAACGCCAGATCAAGTGTCCGAAGTGTGATAAACTGTTCCTGAGAACAAACCACTTGAAGAAGCATCTCAATTCTCACGAAGGAAAACGAGATTATGTCTGTGAAAAATGTACAAAGGCTTATCTAACCAAGTACCACCTCACCCGCCACCTGAGGACCTGCAAGGAGCCCGCCTCCAGTTCCTCAGCACAGGAGGAAGAGGATGATGACTCAGAGGAGGACGATCCCGCAGACTCCATGAGGACAGAGGACTGCAGGATGAGCAGTGCTATTTACTCAACAGATGAGTCTCTCTCTACACACAAATAGGAGAAAGCATCTGCTTTGGATGGAGCACACACTTGGGAAAACATAAAATCAACCCATTGTTAAAAGTAGACTGAGTGGGGATAGCTGAGCACTTACAGAGGAATGTCCAGGGGATTCTTGAAGATGGACTGGGAGACGAGGCATGTGTCTGTCCTATTTTTAAGTAATGGGTGGCAATGAAAGGGCCAGCTTTTGATATCTGTTCTTTATTTACATGTAATTTGGAAGATGCATTTATGCTTGAGTCAAAGTGCCCTTTTGTCCAGACAAATGAGATTTATCTCACATTGTTCCGTTTTCCCCCAGCCAGTGTGACTTGAGCCATCCCACTGCTAACTACGCATTATGCACTATTGTAAGGTATGCGTTTCAGAGAGAATTGTAACACAGCTGTGCAAGTATTAGGATGACTATAATTAATTAAAAGTAATGCCTGCCTACCTTCTGGCCACTTGGGAGTTTAGATCCTGCTTCTCAGTCTCAGCAGGGGTTGAGAGGGCAGGTAAAGAAGCAGCCATGGTTCAGAGGACAGTCAGTGGCTGAGAGAAGAAAAGGTTCAGAAACCCACTTTCGATGGAAGCCAAGGTTAGCCACCTGGTTATGTGTATGTGCACATCGCTGTGGTCTAGCCTTGTCTCTGTCTTCAGGAAAGCCTTCAGTCTTTCAGAGTGGACCTAGAACATTAACAGTGTTCAGATAATGCCTGCTGGGTAGTCTCCAGTCAGCAAGTGCACATGGGCTCACCTGACAAGATTGGTTCTTCCACCCACAGGAGGAAGGAGGGGAATGATTTTTTAAATGTAGGTTTACTTTATGAAAACCATTAAAATGTTGCTAGCTGAAAGCAACAAGTAGTTCCAAATGCATTGTGGGTTTCAGTTAGGCCTTCCCAGTTGTCTTCCTTGCTGAAGGTCCTCACCAGCCAAGTGTAGAGGATACCAAAGGATTTGGAAGATAGAGAAGGCTTACTAGTCACTCCCTGTGAGCAGGCGTACCCAGCTTTTGTCAAGCAGCAGACACATCCTGGAACTTGACAGGATTGATGGAACACGCCTTCCTGCTCAAAGGCACAACCTTGGATTGAGTAGAGGACTCTGCTGGGAAGGTTTTGCTGCTAATGTATTTATAGAATGAATGTATTTCATTCAAATTTGTATTCCTCTAGGAAGAATTAAAATCATTTTTAATGAAAATATAAAATTTCTCATGATCTTTTGTGGAGGAAGGACTTGAGTGTTAAAAGGAAGCATTTAGTTTTGGCTCTGAGATTATATCCTAATTGTTTCTGTGTAATGGTTCTCACACTGCTGCTGGGCTGTGTAGCCTCTCCTCCTGCCCTCAAGGTGGGGCTTTACTGTCTCCGAGGAAACTAGCAGGTCTACAGTTGAAGGCCAGTGCTGTGGGTGACTGCTAATACTAAGGCATGAAGCCTCTCTCATCACCATTAGTGTTCAAGGCAATTTCTCCCTTTTCTCAGGAGCACATACGGGATTAAGTTCTTTTATTGCCCTGCACAGAGATACTCCTCAAAATAATTAAGCTAAATACCCCAAACCGTAAGACAAGATGAAGGGCAGAAAATCCTTGCTCTTCTACCTTTCAACCTCTCAGGTTTTTTCTTTTCTTTTTTTTGTTTTTGTTTTGTTTTGTTTTGTTTTTCGAGACAGGGTTTCTCTGTGTGGCCCTGGCTGTCCTGGAACTCACTCTGTAGACCAGGCTGGCCTCAAACTCAGAAATCTGCCTGCCTCTGCCTCCCAAGTGCTGGGATTAAAGGTGTGTGCCGCCACTGCCCGGCCTCAACCTCTCAGGTTTAAGTGGCACACTTTATTCTCTTAAGAGATAAATTAGCAACTACCCTTTGGTAGGATTTAAACTCTTCTGCTTTATTACAGGAAATGTCCACTATTGCTGTTGGGTCAGTAGGCAAACTTAGACAAGATATGGTAGACGTATGCTCCAAATCCCAGCTCAACTTCTCAGCTGGGATTTACTGTGGGGTGATAGTTTGTAACCTTGTCCATATTACACAGCCTACTGGATGCCTCCTAATAATACTGTGTTTGTACTTGCCTACCTTTTTTTCATGTTACTACAGATCTAAGATAAACTGGATACACGATTACCCAGGAAGTCCTAAGCTTTGGAAATTAGACAGGAATAATTGCTTTTCTGGGCTAAAGATTATGGTTAGTGGTTCCTTAAAAGGTGAGCTGCTTCTATTTCTTGCATATGTGCTGAGCGTGCCATTAGAGAATGTCAAGAGTCTATACCAGGCTTTTTAGACTGGAATGTGCAGGAAGTGCTCTTTTACCAGTTTTCTGAGAAACATAAATATGCCAGCATCTTTCCGTCCATCAATTTCACGAACTTAAATTATCCCATCAACGTATCTCCTGGAAGCACACCAAAGAGCGATCTTTCTATATATACATAGCCAATGCCTATGTGGATTAAACTGTCTTCCCTATTTGTGTTAAAATCTTAACCTCTAGTATTTCAGATGTAACCGTATTTGGACATTTAATCAAAGTTAAAATGAGGTTCTGAAGTTGAATCCCTGTGCAAGTCCTTTTACGAATAGCTAAGTTTGGATAAGGGCTCATGCAGAAGAAACATGATAGGTGCCTATAAGGCACTCAGCCACCAGACAACACTCCCAGTGCCCTGGCGACTGTCTTAACTACATCTCTGAGAAGTGTAGGAGGACAGCTTCAGAACCACCATCAGTGGATGGAATGGCACCTGTATATTTTTTGTTGTCCCTTAGTTTTTCTTTCATATGTATATATACCTAAAGAGTCTTAGGCCACAGATCAGACAGTGATACCGCCCAGAAACCATGTATAAGGCATTGTGCTGTCACAAGCTGGTAATCTTAGCATCTAGGAGACTAAGACAGGATGACTGTGATGGCCTGTTTATACACAATGTTTTCAGGACCTCCAGAATCTGGCTTCCTATTCACATTGCTTGAGGACTGAAGCCCCAGCTGTCCCGTCAGCCTGCCGAGCTCCCTGCTCAGGTCATGCTGACGCAGGTAGCAGTTAGGGGCCCTACAGATACAGTGCCTGTGTCTGAGTCATGCTAGGGCAGCACTGTGGTCATACTGCGTATAGTGAGAGGAGACCTCATCATGTCACTAGGCACTTCATTGCTTTGCAACAGCACGACTGTACACAAACCCAGATGGCATAGACTATCATTCAGTGTGGCCTCAGCATAGGGAAAAATCAACCAACACTTGGTGTGGGAGGCTGAGGTGCCATGTGGTTTACCCCCAAATAATACCAAGTATCACATACTATATTGTGTGTGCTTTACTTTTACATCAGGGACAAAACCACGAGCAGTGCTTTGTGCTGGAATGTTAGGATATCTATGTTGTAAGTTGCTCACCAGAGATCTTTGTATCCCTATTATAATCCATGGGGCCCTTGTTATTGACTGCATACTGCTTTGCTGCATGCTACTGACAGGAGTCCTAGCTGAGAAGAGATAATGAGTAAAGTGCACCGTAATCCTAGCTCTGTAAAGACAACTAACTGATGTTGAGAATGAATAGACCTGGTCTGGAAAAACAAGTCATAGCTGTGAAATACAGGGTGGAACCAGGAAATTTAATTTCAAGCTCAAAGCCAACGTAATTGCTAAGAAGAGAAATTACATTACGTCTTCACTACATGTTAATTTTATTTTCACAAAAACAACTTGTAGGCTCTTAGGAAAGCCTGACAGGAGGGTAGTTTTTAAGATGCAGAATTAGATAAATGTCAATCAGACTCTGTATCTCATGCTTTCCCAACAAGAGTCACTGTGTGGGGAAACAAATTTAACCACTTGGGTGGTTCTATTCCTACTTTGGAAGCTTATAATGATCAAATAAGTTCTGGTCACACTTGAGAACTGTCCTGGCATTCTGAAAATACAGAATGAAGTAAAAGTGAGGTGAATTTCAATGACAAATGGAACAGTTTACTGCATTACTTCAAAAAAACTATTAACATAAAACCTGGAAATCGGCTTAGCAGTTGGTGAAGTCTGGGAGGAGTGAGTGGACAGCCCCTCTGTGAGGCCGAGTGACTAAGTGAGCGGTGTGAGATTGCTACCTTTGGACCTCCAACTCCAGAGTGCTTTATGGGCTTGACAAATTGAAGTTTATTTGAAGTAACTGGACAGAGAATTTACTGGAACCAAGACTAACAAGGTTATAGAATATTACTCTGACAGTTTGGTGTCTATTTAGTAAAATATTTTGATCATAGAAAATTGTATGAATAAAACCCCCATTTTTAAAATATTGACATTTTAAAAACATGTAAGTTTATAACCAAAAAGTGGTAGCATTGTCAAAATACGATTAATATTCAAAAGGTGATCACATTTTAAAAACAATGGGCCAGGGAGACTGCTCAGTCAGTGAAATGTTTGATTTATAACAACAAGGGCCTGAATTCGATTCTAGAACCCACCATGCATATAGGTAATCCTATCCTGGGAATTGGGAGGCAGGTGGATGGCTGAGTAAGGCCAGGCTAGGCTGGTCATGGGTCCTAGGAATTTGCCCATCTCCCTCCTTCGCAGGGCTGGGACAAGCACGAGCCACCACACCAGCTTGGCTAACACAGCAAGACCCGCCTCAAAAACTCTTAAGTTACTATGTATCTTATAAACCTACAGTTCCTAGATCTGTTTAAGGAATCATTTTTTAAAAAAAACTTTTTATTTTCAAGAAATGCAAGAACTCTGTACAGTATCCAGTTGAAGGCAGCCCAAAGGTTGCAGACTGCCATCAAAGCTGTGGAGAGGAATGGCAACAGGAACTGAATTTCCATCTATGGTTATAGGTACGCATGAACATTTTTAGGCCAGCTTTTTGAAAGTGAGTTAAGAACACTAGGAAACTGTGGTCTTTGTCAGGACTCCATTGGTGTCTGTGGGCTCCTGCTCCCACAGGGACCACTGACGGATGAACCTTTTGTGCTGCCAAGAACCAGTCTCTCCCGTCTGCCAAATGCTTCATTTACTGAAAGAAACCATGAGAGGAGGAGGTAAGCACATAGAGACTAGAGTATAAAACAGGGGTCTGCTGTGATGTGAACTTACAAAAGCATATTTAATACTAAGTGACACAATAACCAACTTGGAAGCCTGATCAGTGAACGGACTGAGAGAGTGAAACTTTCCTTAATCATCTTCCTGTACTTTTCTCGGGCTGGTCCTGATGTTCTCTACTCTGCCTTGGGACAGGGCTCTGCTTCAGGCTTGCTTTTCCCTCTGGATCGTGACCACACATATATAATCTATATATACTTATAAAGTCAAATCAGAACCACCCAGACAAATCTTAGGGTCCTTCCTCATCCTGGGAGGGGGATTTGGTGGAGACATACTGTTTACAGACCACATTAGACAGCCTTAAGACAGTCAACAGTTACTGTTCTGAAGGGGACATTGTAGTAGCTGGGAAACGAAGACACTTGGACAACGGGGAAGGGGAAGGCTCTTCCTTGAGACTTCTACATTTTTCTTCCAGCTTTCCCAGGAACCTTTTCAATTTTAAGGTAATTAACAAATAATTTTCTGGGCTGGAAAGATGGCTCAGCGGTCCAGAGGTCCTGAGTTCAATTCCCAGTCAACCACATGGTGGCTCAGAACAATCTGTAATGGGATCTGATGCCCTCTTCTGGTGTGTCTGAAGACAGCTACAGTGTACTCGATGTATGGTTACACATACATAAAAAAAAAAAAAAAATTTACTCAAAGGCCAGCTTACCTGTGCCCATCCCGTTTCTAAGGAAGGACTACAGGATGTGTACTGGACTTGACTTTTGCCATCTATGAAACATTAAATTCCAGCCCTGTTCTTAGTCCTTATGCTTTCAGAAAGAGCAGGAGCTTGAAGGTTCTTACCTGAAGAGACAGTGCTTATGTCCCAAACCCGAAGCCCTTCTTTCTGTCCTCCAAAGGCATAAACAAATGGCAAGTCAGGACAGCATGAAGAACAAAAGAGTACTCCCTGGGGAAGAAAAGATCAGAACCGGTGATTTCTAGCCTAGAGTTCTAACCTCTAGGTCCTGACCCTACTCTCTCTCTAAGAACAAGTTTGGTTACTCAAAACTAGTTAAGTACAGCCTTTCAGCTGAACCATGATGTCACTGTGTATGCAGGTCTCACTTTTCTAGGAATCTCTTATCTAATTTGCTGTGTATACCCAGAAACTTTAGTCATCTTTTCAAACACTAACAGTGATACCATAGGTCACTCTCAAGTCTTTTTTTTTTTTTCTTAGTCCCTTTGCAAGTATGCAGGTTGATGAGCAGAGACTTCTAGGCAGGGGTCCACCCCTGACCCATATCCTCAGCCCTCAAAGTCCTGGCAGACATTACATTTATCTTGTGTGTCGGGGACAGGCATGTTTGTGGTCAGAGGGCCACCTGCAGGAGCTGGCTCTCCTTTTACAACACGATCACCAGCCTTAGCAGCCAGTGCCATCTCTTTGGCTCCCCTTATAAATAAACATTGTAAGTAAAGATTATGCATTATAGAAAGTATGATGAGAAAAATAAACCCCTCAGTGAGATGACTCATCTGGGGGTAAGTACTGAGTCAAGTAGTCTTTTCTAGACAAGCCTGGGAGGAACTCAGACACTTCGAGGCCTGCTTTCAATAAGCTAAGTGAATGTACACATGGTTTTAACTTCTGGATACTCTGTGCCGCCAATGTTACCCACTTAACTCGGTGCCCTACACAGTCAGTACTCGCTCTCTGTTAGAAAACACTACTTACTCTAAATGTTTTGCTCACCGATAGATTATCAACTGCAATGTAGACAGAGCTAGTTAGGAGAAGTAAATAAAGAGCCCCCAATAGCTCTAGCGCCTCAACTTCAATGATGTCCTGAGGTAACCCCGAGTTAAGGAGAAGTTGTGGCCACTCCCTGTGTTCTTTTCCCAGTCTCCTTGATCCTATCAAGTGACTATTAAACTTGCAAACCAGAAAGAATTCAGACTGTAACTCCTGCCAAAGTTAACTAGCTCAAAATTAACTAAAACAATTCTTGAATGCAGTGATTCCCAGGAAAAGACAAGCCGACAGGTCAGAAACAGTAGAAACCTCCAGAGATCCTCACCATTTTCATGTCTCTAGAATGAATGAGACTTGGCCTATCTCCTAAGATGTCCCAGATCTTCACAAATTTGTCCGCTGAAGCAGTCACAAGGCAGCCTTTGATCTGACTGCTCAGATCAAGACCTGGAAGATAAGATTAGTTCAGGAGCTACTGCCTGAGATTTAGATTTACTTTGTCATAACTTAATGCATTGAAAGAAACATCATTCGTGCTCACCAGAAATTTCATCGTTGTGTGCATTAAGTGTAAAAATCGGCTTATCTGAACGTGCATCCAGATTATATACAAAGCCATCATCCGTACTGGCCTGCGGAGGGGAAGATGGGCGGATCGTGTTATACGACACTACACTGTGGCAATGGAGAAGTATGTCAGTTACAATAAAATCTGCTTATCTGTGAATTAAACACAAGAACTTACTTTTGTATGAGCTATGTCCACGAAGCAGGGTTAGAGTTGTAGAAACACAGAAATGGCAGTCACTGCCCAGGGGCAGAAGCGGAACCCGTGTGTGTGTGTGTGTGTGTGTGTGTGTGTGTGT